TGGGCGGAGTGTCGTGTGTGGGATATCCAGGGTGATCCAGTGTGTGAACAGTGGATGTTGGGCGCTCAGTCGCCATAGCCAGTGGAAGTGAACTTACCTGGAAGCCATATCTTTGTGTACTGTGTGGGCGCAGTTCGCCAGTTTGTTGTGTTGCTGTTCACGTGCATGAAAAGAGGGAAAGAGTCGAGTTTGATTGCAATAACGTCCAACCAAAATAATTTTAAAGAGTAAGAGTAAGGATAGTCCACATAGTCAAGCAGAAGTTTGTGTGGTATTAGACGATCGCTCTCACATCAGTTGTGTGGCTTGTCCATCAGCATTCACGCAATACTCAGACTATCACCAAGCTCAATTCAAAAAGATCTTATAAGCATACCTGCGATCACACAAGGTTCAAACAACAACAACATCACACACATTAAGGGAGTCAACTTTATTGCTTTTCTGCGACTCACACCCTGCCTTGTGCATACAAACCGCAACCAATTTCCACCATCCCTGAAATAACGGTACTCAGTCTTTTAGAAATGGCAATTTAAAAAGAAGTCAAGGTAAAAACCCTAACAAAAAAAGACACACACAGGAGCCAAGGCCTTAGGTTGAGATGCAGAAGCAGGGAAGATGTGTCGTAAACCGATGAATCGGCAACCGACCTGTTATCAGTGATAACAGAAGAATGATCTTTTGTAGGATCAGGCCGAACGAGTCAAGCCTTCAATCGAATTCGTAGACCTGCATCACATTCCAGGCCAAAACGGACAACACTATGTTTAAGGAGAACATGCTCCATGTCTAGGCCTAACTCCTCTATTAACCTCTCCCTCATGTTCTCTTAATGGATCCCATAAATCACTAACAATTTTGGTAGTACCTTCCCTAGACAGGGTGGATTGCCAAATTCTGCCTAGCAGAAAATAATCTAACTCTCCAGATTCTACAAAATTTCGGCAGCGCTTCCCGTAGGAAAAGTGTCTTTTCAGAATTTCCAGGAGTCCAAAAATGACTAACTCCTTCAAATTTGTAAAAATTTCGGCAGCGCTTCCCGTAGGAACAGGAGACCGCCAAGATCTATATAAAGCTGAAATTGCAAAGACAAAACACATCTATACTTGGGATCAACTCCCGACACTTACCTGATAGTTAGAATCGGAGATAGTGCACGATCCCTTCTTGAGGATGACATAGTGAAGTAATATCGATCCTAACTCCTAATAAGGTCAGTCCTATCTTATCCCAAGTTTTCCTCCCAGCATCCATCTCACCTACCTAAAGCTTCAGCACTCAGCGAGCATCTAAAGCGACTAAGCTATCAAAAAGGAAATCCCCAGAGATACCCCAAATGAAACATACATAGGTGAGCACAACAACATCTCTCTCCAACCCATTGGTTTCTTTCCAGGTCACATAGTTCGTTCAGAAAGCCTCGTTATTCCCTTTTTACACTTCCTTACATAAGACATAGGATCAGCCAACCCAACTTATGGATGTGACTGACCTGCCAGTTTATATGGCTAGGCCACACCAACTTATGGTGCCCTAACCTGGTAAAACAAGTATACGTAAGTCATTGGACCAAACCACGCCAACTTATCGAATGACCAGTTTCTGCCTAAACGATTAACATAAGGCGTATGACCGGGCCACACCAACTTATGATGAGGCTGGTCAGCCTAAACTTTCAGCATACACAAATAACTGAGCCACCTCAACTTATGAGGGGTCCAGACTCTGCCTAAACAAACGACGAAAGGCATATGACCAGAATACACCAACTTATGATGTGCCTAGCGAGCCCACACGATGATATATGGCGTAGAACTAGGCTACTCAACTTATGAGTAGTCTAGCCCGCCTAACAAGCAAACAAGCGCGTGTGACTGAACAACCCGCAACTTATGCGTTCGCCCAGTCTCCGCAACACAACTACATTCAATAAGTAGAGTCACAAGTTTTTTATGTCTTCAGACGAGTGGTCAGGTCACCTCAACTTATGAGACTCCCCATCCAAACATCGGTTATGTTTAGAAAAGGAAATAACCAAACTTTATATACCTCTCTGCTTTTGCGTATTTAAGGACATAGGACCATCTACCCAACTTATGGATAAGTCAGCCTGCCCAAAGTTACCACACCATTTTGTATTGTTCATCTTCCTTCCCTCTGCTTTGTCTGCTACCAGCTTATATGGCTGGATCTCCCAACTTATGGCACCCAACCTGCCATAAATATACATAATAAATAAAGTACCATATGATATACTTTGATTCTCTTTGTGATGGCGGCTCATGACTTGACCACACCAACTTATGGTGCGAATAGTCTTGCCTGAACAATAAACATAAGGCATAGGACTGATCCACACCAACTTATGATGTGGATAGTTTCTGCCTAAACAATCGACATCAGGCGTATGACCGGGCCACACCAACTTATGGCGGGGCTGGCCAGCTTGAACATTTGGCATACCCAAAAATCTGGACCACCTCAACTTATGAGGAGTCCAGCCTTTGCCTGAACAACGACAAAAGGCATATGACCAGAACACAACAACTTATGTTGTGCCCCGGCCAGCCCAAACATTTACATATGGCGTAGAGCCAGGCCACTCAACTTATGAGTAGCCCAGCCCAGCCTAGACAAGTAACGAGTGCGTATGACTAAACAACCCGCAACTTATGCGTTCGCTCAGCCTCCGCAACACGACAACAAGTAAAGTCACAGATCTGTCTTTTCTGAATTCACACAGATAGTCTGACTTCATCATACATACTTGCCAATTTTACCCTTTCAAAACAACGTCCTGAACTCAAACAAGCAAGAAAACAGTTATCTTTTCTCAGTCATACTTACAGGCACGCAATAACAAAAGGATAATACAATTTA